TGCTTCTACAATCTGCATGTAGCATGTGCCAGAGTTTAATTAAGCTTTTACTGAATGTATGCTTCTTTATTTATTAGTTTGGACTTTCTCTCAAGATATTTTTTTATTTTTGTTTATTTTTTATGGTAATATTTATAGATGTAATCATAAAAACATAAGTCTTTCTAGAGCAGAGTGCTCAACTTACTAACACCCTCTTGGTCCAGCAAAGTTACAAAGTTCTCAGATACATTAGTTAGACTTCTCCTCATATTAATAAATTGCACTGTTGACAGACTAAAACAGCTCCACCCTAATTGACCAGCTATCTTACAGTGAGACAGGGCTAAAAGACATGACTTGAGACCTCCACTCTTCACTCCAGCAGGTTTATGTGAGGATAATTGAATTTAGTGGAAAGAGAAAATAGGGACTAGTCTGGGAGCCGACATTGCCAAAAAGCCCACCTCCAGACTTAAGGTCTAATTTCTGCAGAGCCTACTGTGTAGAGATTCTGTGGCACAATATCAAGGCCACAGGTAATTCATCTTCTGGCTCTAGCTCTGCTTTGCAACCTAATTAAATGAATAAAGATGTGAAGAAATCTTCATTTCCGTAGGGATAAACACATTGCTGCATGGGAAAGGTAAGAGGAAAGGCTGGCTTTGTAAAGGAAGAATAGAGGCAGATGAGAAACCACTGGCTCGGAGATAGTGAATGGCTGAAGACATTTGAATAAGTAGGGAAAAACAGTGTTCTGATTTACATGCAGCTGCAGTTGCTGGCTCATTTGTTTTGATAATAGCTCACCCTTCACACACTTTATGCAGAGCTGACGCCACCATATATATCTGAGTTAACAAACATTTCACTTCTTGTGTTAACACTCCACATCGAAAGCGATGGGCGTTATACGGGGCAAAGAAGCAGCTCGTGTCATAGACACAAGACACACTTGAGTGCACTGCCTGACAGTTTAAATACCACCTGCCCCATCACTGAAACATCTGGCTAGTCTTTGGTGCCTGCTGCAGAAAAAGCACGCTTTCCTACAACTTACTTGCCTCACTTTACCCACTCATCAATTTCAAGGAGTATGCAAATGGATCCCTGGGAGTCCACACCGTTACAACAACAGGGCAATAAATTCTCATTAAGGCTTTCCTTCCTTGAAAGGTAGAAATTGAAGTTGGGATATTCGTGTTTATAGTCCCAGGCAATTGGAACAAATGAGGAGATCTTGTAGAAGGAAGATAGGCTTACAGCCTTAATCGGGTCCTCGCAAAACCCCCGCTCCACCACCCACCCTTCCACTGGCTCCGTAGGGAGTGTCAATGATGAAGTCAGCCACGGGAGTGACGGCCCTGCGCCACTGTGCTCAGCCTCTCTCCCCTCTGACAGGCCCATATTTCACCAGACTCATTCTCCAACCTCCACTGTCACCGTTTCCTGTGCTGTCAGGGGGACGACTCCCATCATCAGATCGGTGATTTCACAGGCTGGTGGCAGCAGCACTCCCTCGCTGTAGCTGACTAACATGGCCCCACTCCAGACAGCTGGGTGACCCCTCCTTAGAAGCTGGCTGGATGCTCTGATTCCTCTCATAATGCACATGTAAAGATCTAGGGTGGAAATTTTTTCTGCATGATGCCAATAGCTTTTGGGAGCTGCTGATTTCTGTGTTTGTTTGAGTCTGTGTCAACACAAATATCAAAGTCCAACTGGGACTGGACCCTTGTTGTAGTTCCAATGTTGAACAATGTCAGAATTAAGTCACTTCACTGTTAAAGGAATAGTTTGACATTTTGGGAAATACACTTAATCGATACCACTCTCAGTAAGAATGTGTCTGGTAAATTTGAAGCTACAGCCAGCGGCTAGTTAGCTTAGCTTAGCCTAAAGAAGGTGAAACAGCTTGTGTGTTATGTTAACATAGGGTGTAACTATTTTGTAGTTCAAAGTAAAACTGTATTCAGGGTTATAAAGTTGTAAAATCCACAAGTGACACTGCAACAAGATCATCATTTGGCATGTACCATTACCACGTTTAAGCTTTTCAGCTTCCCTTGCTGTTTACTTTCTCATGAGAGATAAAAGTGTGATGCCTATTTCAAGTCACAGCAAACTTTTGATGATCTCAGTGAAATGCTCTGATTTAGCTTCTGTTGCTGTTATGTTACTAATGGCATCTTATGGTGTTATCAGTCATTGCACAAAGGCAGGGGTGTGTTGGGGGTCACTAGCTGTAAGGGCCATTATTAATAGTAACCACTTTAGAAGGATGCAAATGGGTAATTTTGCAAACGAACATAATTATGAACATTATTATTTTTTCTTCCTTTTTACTTTTTACTCTGTTTTATTCTGTTTTAAGCCAACTTCATCATTAACTGCCCAATTTGCAAAACCTCAGGCTGCGGATGCACATTCACAGAGGAAGTGTTAACTGATTCACTTCCACACATTGATTTAAGTCTGTTTCTTTAGGTCATTTGGCAAACTCAGTCTAAACATTTGTTTTGGATCCCTGTCATGTGCTCGCTATTAGTCTTAGTCACCCATGTCTACAGTGAATGGCAGATGGCTAATGAGTTAGGGTGAATTCAGGTATATTGGAACATTAGGTGAACTGGGACAGCATAAGAAAACAGCATTGTACTTCTGCCCTGAAAAGTGTAAGTCAAAGCAATTAGTGCTGAGACGTTGCTGTGGGCGTACATGACCAAAGTCACATGACAATTCCTGTGATTTATCCTGTGTGTTATGATCAGCACCACACAGGAGAAGTTTACCCCAAAAACGTAGCTGTATTTTCAACCCTGAATTAATTACCATGTTAAGGAGCGAGGCACTTCCTTCCTAACCTTGGTCCTCATGTCAACCCTTATACATTTTACCCACAGGAGGTCTGAGTGGGACTGTGACTTCAGAGAACAGTTTTATAGGAGACATGTTGGGTGTTGGGACCCCAGCTCCATGTGCACACGCGTAACTGTGTGTGATACACAAGCATAAAGGCATGCCTCTGTGAGTGCATGACTCCACATCTGTACACCTTTGTCCAGATGGCAATGTCTGTGTGTGGTTTAACAGCATTAAAGGGCACTCTAGCGCCATCTCTCCTGAGAAATAAAACAAAAAGACCCTCTGTGCTGTGTCAACTTTAGGTCATACCGTGCCCTTTATGTAGACCTCCCCTCCTCCTTCCTTCTTCCTTCCTCCAAACCTCTCACTCTCCAGATGTGGCAACTATTTTCAGTGAAAAACCCATTGTAGGCTACCAAAATAGCACCAAAAGGCAGAAGGACAAACTTTGCAACTAGCTGGTGAACATAGTGGAACATTTAGCAGGAATATACCAAAACAAACACCCCTTTTTCCCTGAAGGCACAAGTCATTGCTGTCACAGCTTGGCAATTGCAAGCCACCACAGTATTCCCAACATTTGCTGAAGAGTACATTGGCTAGTATGGGAATCCCACACTGAGACAACCCATAGCCCACTGTAAGTCAGATCTGCATTCTTTGTTAAAGCCTGAATTAAATGACTAGAGGCACGTAGTTAGATGTATTTCCTCCCATTTTCTGGGAGTGGTCAGAATATAATTGTAGAAGACGAAAGCATTTGTACAGTCTTGATTTGTTATGAATCAATGAATATATTCTGTAGCTGTCAACCATTCCTGTTTACCTGAAGGCGCAAGTCTTTGCTGTCACAGCTTGTCACAAGAGATTTCCATGTGTATGGCAATTACAGTGTTTGTTGGTGGCTGTTGGTGGGTCCTCTGGGTATCTATATCGCCGTATAATTTCATCCCCCTCTCCACAGAGTAATTCTATCACCCTCAAAACGCAGGCAGAGGCAGACAGCAGTAAGGAGGACATCCACAGATAAATCCATTTCAAGTGTACTTTGAATCTAATTTATGATGGTCACCTGCTCACAGGATGTCAACACAGAAATTGTGTTTGCTGCATGTAAGTTAAAAAAAATAGATAAAATTTTTGGTCAGGCAAGTATGAATCACCCTAACTATCTCAGATTTCTTGTGCTCTTGCACAGACTTCATAAACAGAGAAATGGGAAGAAAAACAAAGGTCATATAGTGCCCCTGGTGGAAGGTCAGTGTGACTGGTAGGCAGCTACAGAGGGCCAATACTGCCACCTGAAGGAAAAGAGTGCACCTCCTATTCTTTATCTCCCATGTTAACAGTGTTTAAATGTAGCTGTAGAATCATTTGCAGTGTGTAATGTATTGGAAACAATTTAAAATCACATTTTAATGATTGAGTACAATGTCTTGATTAAATGGGGCAAATATAACAAAACACTCAGACAAGAAACAAATATGCTCAATGCAAGCAACCTCTTTGAGTAACTGCTCGATGATAATATAACAAACTATTTGCAATCTGTGGATATTAAACTTAGTAGCCCGTCTTACGATTTTATTCAAACAAGGGTGGTTAATGCATTAAGGTCCTGCATCTTAGCCAATATATGAAAGAGAAAACTGTCAAGTAAAATGTAAAGTACCGCACAATGTACTGCACAATGCATGCATTGGAAACACAATTTGTTAGAAGACGCACAGAATTAAGTGCGTTTGAGAATGGTGCTGACCAAAAGGTCAGAGTGAGCAATGGTGTGCCATTCACTACCATCTGTCCTTGAGGTGCCATTGAGCAAGGCTTTTAAACCCCAGATTCACCAGTAGAGCTACTTAGTGCGCTGTGCGCCTCTCCAAATGACCATTTATGCAACTGTGTCAGTGTGATGCAGACAACTGCTAAAATAGAACACACGTCCCAAAATAGCATAATACTTATATATATTTGTGGCTGTGAGTGGGTATTAAGTGATTACCTTGATTTCCACAGCCCTCATTTGCTATGATGGGGAGACATGAAGAAAGAGAGGCAGACAAATAGAATAGGAGGATCTACCATAAATGCAGACTGTGATCTGTGAAGGATGAATGAAGGTAATGTGTACATGTTGGAGGTTTTTATTTCATACTAAAGCCATCAGCGCCTCTCTGTGGTCAAACAGCCGTACAGCAGCAGAAAGGTTGTCTTTTAAACACTGCATTCGACAACACCGTTTATAAAAGACCATGCTGAACTGACAGTCAGCACAAAACTAAATAAAGTAAAATGGCTACAGCACATGACTAATGTATTTCACTTATTTTTACTTATTCATTTTTTCCTGAATTTATGTAGAACTAATTCAAAACGAGTTCATTCTGTGATGTAAATCTGGTATTTTCAGTGTAGGTAGACATGCTAACAGGAAGTACATCAAAGAGGCAGCTTTGAGTGAGATTAAATTTTCTGTTTCTATTTAAATCCAATTTAAGACTTGCGATAACGCCGTTTTTTTTTCCACAGCAACATTCTTTCATTTCACAGTGCAAGCATTGATAAACTGCATAGAAACATGATGAAATTGTGCCGAGGTCACAGAAAGTAGCATAATTTAAAATAAAGTTACAAAATTACAATGAATCTTTGGTTTACCCTTGAGTTTGAAATGAAAGAAATACTAAAATGTTACATCCTAAGTAATTTTTCATTCAAACATTTATAAATAAATACATGAATTCACACTATTCACTACTATTACACACTATTTAATACACACTATTTGAGGCTTCAATACAATAAAGATTATTGTACATCTTTGTATTTTTGAAGAAAAAAAAATATATTTTTCCTCTTTTGTAAAAACTGCTAGGACTGTAGGTCAACACAAAGTACACAGCTCTCATGATGGAGCCACTAAAGTAATACACATTCAAAACTAGTTACATTTCAATTTCTCAAACATGAAAATACATGAGAAATGATATAAAACATGACAAATAATTAGCATGCCCTTCAACACGGGAAGGTGAAAACCAACATCCCACTGGGAGATATTTGTTTGCCAAATGATGAAATTGTTTGAAATCACTGACAATTCTGCTTAGTGAGTGACGTGACCAAAATGTAAAAACTGAACCTGTTAAAATATGCCAGTGTTCTTTTTTCTGAAACAGTACTGTGGGTGAGATCTTCCTAACCCTACCTAACCCTGTCGCTCAAACTTTGGCATAACTGTCACGTCACTTCTTTGACACCTCTTGTTGTCAAGAGGCTACATCTGGTTGTCATTGTATTGTGGGCTGGAGTACTGATTCTGCATGGCTCCGGCAGCTGCCCCCATGGCGGCTTCCTGGGCTGCTGCTTGGACATGAGGGTTCTTCCAGGCTCCTGTGGTCCATTCCTCCTGTGCTTTGGTCATGCTGGCCCCACTGCCACGGTAGAAATTATGGATCTGCAGCAAGGTCGGAGCGCTAGTTATTATCAACAAAGGTTAAGTGGTTTTAATTGCTTTAGTTGATAGTATCACATAGATTTTTAGAGTTATGCTACTATGTGTCCGAATCAATAAGTTTTTCTATTAAGACCTATTTGAACAGTGTTATAGTTAGTTTGAATCTTGAAACTCTGGTACAGAAACATCTGCAACATCTAGCAGAAGACAGCATAGAAACTACAGAAAATAATATTAAATTGATTCAAATAATAGAATTACTTTTAATGTAAAACAATAATAAAATATCCCAAAACTCTTCACTCTACAACACCCCTACATTTCCCTTTGTAGAAGTGCCCTGGTGAAATTCTTACCCTGGTGAGGGCAATGAAGGACAGTGAGGCCACAGCAGTGAACATGAGAGTAGGGACCAGCATGATCAGTGCGATCAAGATATTATAGCTGAAGAAAGAGATAGTAGCAAGCCAACCACTGAAAAAGACACAAATGGCCATTAACCAGATTTCATCAAAAAATTTATTAATTTTAGACTATGAACACAACGTGATCCGTTATCATCTGTTATTGGATTGTCTGGTATTTCTCATGATACTACCACTGAACATCTGGACGTTAAATGCCAATAACTTTGTGGACTTTAAGTGCTGTGATATAAAGTTTAAAATTTTTATAGCTCATACATGAGGATATCCAATTGCACATGGTGACATTTATAAACTTTATGGAGGCTGTCATAATAGTAATTTCTGATCATCAGCCTGAGTCAGGTGACATTTTGAGGGGCTTTTTAACAGCCTCTCAAAATCTAATAACAGGACGATCATAAATGTTATATGAGGGCAATTTCTGATGGTCCATCACTGTCATGTTAATGAAAGCAGCGAACAAGGTCTTTTAAAAAATAGTCTACCTGACTGGACTTACTGCTTGAGCTCAAAATGTTTCATTCAAAAGCATATTTTGTAGTTTTATTAAAACAGCTTCTGATTTTTAAATGAATCACTTTATCAATGACTGGGGTACTTGAGTTACACTTGACTGGTATGAGTTACTTATCAAGTGATGCCACATACTTTGATTCATGACTGATTCACTGTTACTGTTACAACAGTGAGATCTAGCATCAGTAGACAAAGAGTTACCCTTGACTAAACTGTCACTAAAGCTTTTTTTATGTGAGTAAATTTCTCCAAATCCTCCCATGATTTTCTTGAAAGAACTTGACATAAAAAGAAAATTATTAATTCATTGTAATTATTAATTCAAATTAAATCTGAATCTCTTTCTCTCTGAATATTGTGAGTAAAATGCAACTTATTGATTAGGGCTATTTGAGAGAAATATTTGTGTTTTCTTACCATACTCCCCATCCTGGGATGCCGATGCTTTGGATGATGCTGATGCCAACTTGGGCCATGAACACAAAAAAGAACAGCATGAAGTTGAAAGAGCTGTCACTCCTGAGAAAAGCAAAAAAGCAAAAAAAAAAAGCAAAAAAAATATTCATACTTGCAAACCCAAATTTACCACATTTACATGTAATGTTGTATTTTCATGTTATATTTTGTGTTATCTTATTCATCTTATCTCAATTTGGTTTCATGTGCTGTCAAATGCACAGTGCTGCCAGAGAGCAGTGACCAGAGTGTGCTAGCATCCTCCCCTGGTGCTGTGCTGTGACAAAAGTGTGGCGGAGCATGGCAGCAGCAGCTCTCTTCCTCTACAAATGTGTGCCACTTCTCCTAACCTGTCTGTAGGTAATGTTTCCTCTCTCCTCCAAGCAGGTAAGCACTGCATTTTGCACCAGGGAATCATTGACTGTACTATGCAACACATTGGCTTCGCCTTGGCTGTGCAAAGTAGTCAGGGAACAAGAAATATGCTTAAGCCTCAGAGATAAAAGAACAATTTAAGAAGATGTTTCTTTCGGCAGTACAGTCAGTGGTCACATGTTAGTGCCGTATCGTGTGTCACCTCATGAGACAAGAGCTCCATGTCAGCAGAGGATTTGGAATTTGCACTGCCCTTCGACGAAAGGGACGAGAGGATGTTCTGGGTGCTCCATTGACCCTGCTGGAGGCAAAAGGAACTCAAAGCCCCAATTTACACTTAGTGTATAGTGGACCATCACCCAGTCTGAGTGCACATTATACGTACTACGTAGTAGCTCTGGACTACACAATAGTGTAGTGTGTAGAAATGAGTCAGAAACATCTTGCAAACTCCCCATTACTGTGAGGAAGATGCCATGTAGTCTTTCTATGGTTGAGGGATGTCTGGTTACTGTCATATTTTCGCCTCAAAATACAGTATAAGATGCACGTGTGTAGTGTATATCCTTTATTTCTATTAAGAAAAATAGTTTGGCCTCTACAAGAGATGTGAGGAAAAAAAGGTACTGTTACTATATGCAACCCTGAGCCAGAAATATTCTCTCTGCCACTCAGTATTATTTAATAACATAGTATACATTATATTGTATATGATGCAGTTATTGTCTCTGTTGAGCGGATATAATACACAAAAATAGCCTTTAACATCTTATACCTCAATATAACACATTAACATCAATATTATATTAATTATTATATTGTTGCTGTGTTACTTTATACTTTAAACAACTACAACAACTGCCAGCAAAATGCAAAACACAACTTTATAATGAGCATGTCAGTACTTTATATTTGACTTACTTGAAGGCCTTGTAGATGGGCCTGAACCAACAGACGTAAGAGCAGGGAGTGAACATGATTAGCCAGATGATAGCTAGTCCGAAGTTGGTCACTCCACCTCCACCAAACATCCAAGCAAAGCAGCCAATGAGATTCACCGCAAGTGTGGCACTATTCACTGTAAGACCCACAACAGAGATATTTTAGGCATTGATGCATCAATTCAGTACACATACACACACATGCAGATGCAGAGAAGTATTTAGAAACAAAAAGTGGATATGAAGACAGCCAGCATTAACACAAAATGAAATATGTAATCATAATACTTGACACAAGATGGCCTGTGTTCCCTGAATAGCCTTTTTGTGTGTGTGCCCTTTTCTATTGATTCTCAGTAATGTTATGAATCTACAGTCCTCCCCACTTTAGTTGCACTTGGTTCTAATTGGAGCTCTGAGCTTTGGTTCCATATTTCTTCTCTAAACTAGCAAAAGAGGCCAGTCAATTTCAAATCTTGGGCTATAAAGAAAATTGCCTCACAAGAAAATTATGAAGCGAAACACAGCTGCAACATGACAGCAATTAAGTAAACAGTTTAGTTTCCCAAATGCACAGCAGAAGAAGAAAAAAACATGATGTTGGCTTAAAACGGTTTTAACACATGGAATGAGGAAGAAATGCTCAAGATAAAAGTAACAACAAAAATAAAGTGTAAAAAGCAATGCCTGCACATTGTAACATGGAAAATGGCAAATCCAAATACAAGACGGACAGATACAGAGAAAAAAAGAATAATAACACATCAAGAAGCAGATTGCGACTTTTGAATACCTGCTTATGTTTATCGATTACAAAATAGAGGACGCCTGCAGAAAGAAAAGAAAACATCTTTGGTTTTGTTCACTGTGCCCTGCAAACAAATCACATGTTGTTTACTGCACGTATATTGGAGTTCTTCATTTGACCAAGTTCAACTACAACCTTGTGTCAGCATCCCAGCTTCACCTTTTGTTTTCATTATTTTCATGATATTATTTTATTGTTATTCAGCTTGTTGTTCTATTCTTACCTGCTAAATTAATGTCACAGCACATACATCACTGTTGCAGCAGCTTTGGGCTTTTTCTTACCGCTCTCCGTGCCCTCGGCTCCCTTACACACCTTCACGGACGGGCAGGGAGCTTCCAGAGCAGAGCAATATCACAAATATCATTGTACTGCTTGTTTATGGAGTAATAAACTTTGATGAAAGTGCTTCTGGCAAAAATTGTTTAACACAATTTCAAAGTTAACTGCTCTGCTCAAACCAAGGCCATCTGGTCAGCACTATGACTCATTAGCAAATAAACCAGTCAGGGTATCACAGTCGCAGCCAATAAAAATAAAAATCTTTTTGGACCAAAAGGATCCTTGTAAACCATTGCCCTTCTGTTACATTGTTCTTATCATGAGCTAACCACAGAGAAGACAGTTTATGGGACCTCCAGGAGAATTCAAATGATTTCAATCTCCTTTAAGGGCCTGTTGTTTTGTTGCAGATTTGGGTAGCCTCTGCTGAAAAAGTAAAAGTTGAAACTTAAACTCCAAAGTTTAGATAGCAGCTTTGATCTAAGGACAATGTAACATAATAAGTTGAATAACCGAAAGCCACTCACACATCCACAGGTGGTACATTTTCTTGCACATGCTGCGGTGCTGCTCAGGGATCTCATCAAAGTCCTGATAGAAACATGGCTTGAGTGGAATGAATCCAGGCAGTGGAGGGAAGTTGGGCTCTACAACATATAATTCCATATCATTTAGTTATGGCAGGTTGTATATGATGTTTGTTTTTTTTTATTCCAGTACATGTGTATGTAATTACTGACCTGCCATGTGGATGCAGTGTCAAGTTTGCCACTAAGATTCACTCCTTCTTCAGTCTCTTGAGTCTGTCAAATAAGGAGAAACTGCAGGTTAAGGTGACTTATTTTATAGCTCCTGTATATGTGGTTATTTGCAATTTATTTATATGTTTGTGACCACATCTCAATATACCATTGCAAAATTACATACTGTACTTTGTTAGAAAAAAAAATAGACGTTTAACAGAGAGTGCTATAAGCTGAACTGAGACATCCTGCCGGGGGATTTAATATGTGAGCCCTACAGGCACGTCTCAATGGTGGTGATAAGATCTTAACCCCAAGTGAAAACACACACCCACCCCACACACACACCCCGGGTGACCGGGAACACTCGGCGGTTGCAATCACACCGGAGCTGCATTTGTCGGATGAAATGAGGCAGCAATTTTCAGTACATGTGCGCAGATAGTTTGACAGAGAGCTGGCTACCATAGCCAGGAATTACGGATTCCGAGGGAAACCTAATCTGCTTACCTCCTCCAGAGAGCAGGCGCTTCTGGTCTCACTCTGCACAGTTTCCGCTGAAGGCTTTAGATGCGCGTTGAATAGACTGCGGCTGCCAATCGGACGATATCTAAACGCAAACTATTAGACTATTATTATTTTTTCTTATGAACGGGATGAATAGAGCAACAGATCCTGACTGTCCTGACACTCGACCAATCACCGTGCTTCACTCTGCTGTCACTTTGATTCAGACCAATAGGCGGATTACTCTAATCCTTGGCGTTGTATTGTTGACCCAATCACCGTTCAGCTCTCTGTCCATGGTGCTGAAACCGACTCACTGACTGAGGTAAACCTAACATCATTTGTCTGTCGCTTAAGATAAACACACTGAAAACATTTACCGTTCATTTCTGTGTTGTTTCATAGATTAATATTTTTCATAGCTTCATAATAAGTGGACTCGCATACATGGAAGGCTATATGAAAATAGTAGGTGATATAAATCAGAGGGTTTTTTTTCTGTTTTCAGATTTCTCATGAGAAAGAGACAACAGCCGCAAATAAATCAAAAATTAAATTGAGGACTGTACAGTGTTTGGGGGTAATTAAATACATTTACTCAAGTACTGCACTAAAGTACAATTTTAAGGTCCTTGCATTTTACTTGAGTGTTTCCATTTTATGCTACTTTATACTTCCACTCAATGACATTTCATAGGGAAGTATAGTATTCCTTACTCTACAACAGTTACTCCACAGCTTTAAGTATGACTTACTTTGATGCACTATTATATATGGTGACAACTACCCCAAATTTGCTTACTTACACATTAATGCATCAATAATAATGATCAAATAATATGATACTAACAGTGACTATTGTGCATAATGAGCACTTTCACTATATTTAAAGTACATTTTGTTGCCTATGCTTCTGTAATTTCACCTTCACTGCATTAAACATCTGAATGTAGTTCCAGTGGGGTTTTTTGTAGTTTCTACTCTTAAGTAAAGAACCTGAATACCGTTTCCACCACTGGGACTGAAACCCTGATTACCTGAGAGGAGAGCCTAGGAGTGATTTTCTTTATCTTGTGAAAATTCAGCTGTAACACACCCTACCTGATACTATCAGTCAGGTCACTGCTCATACCAACAGTCCAAAATTGAATATGAGACTTGAGTTTGTTGCTGACCTAAATACTAAGTGGACTCTGGCTCGCCAGCGGGGGTTGCTGTTTCACTGCTGTGAGGGACTCTGGAGGGAAAGTGTAACCAAGCAGACAATCTGTTTTTGTCACGCCTTCACTTGGCTTTCACTTTCATCATTTAGTTAGTAGACTGGTGATTCATCAGTAACAGAGAATCAAATGATAATAATAAGAAAAGAACAATTATAAAACGTTGTTTGTATAGCACATAATCTACTTTTGCATGCAAAAATTAATATTGAAGCCAAAATACAAATGGAAAATAAAATCCTCAGTGTGTTATGCTGATATTCCTTAATGAGGCATTGTTTTGTGTCATTATGGAGGCAGTAAGGATGCAACCATCATAGCTCGGTATGCATACAAATGTGAAAATGTTATTAATTACCAGTTGCATATGAATCAATCCATCACACATTCTGCAATGGTCAACCTTAATTTATAATGTGACAGAAGGATTAGTGCAGGCTTAGTGTTATGACATTTATATTGTTACAATGACATTTATCAAGTCAAGCCACATGAGCTCACTGACAGACAATTAGTTGAAAATTCTCTTTCTGACATTGAATCACTAAATCATTACTGTCATTTTTCAATAACATATTTTCAAATTACGTCACATCTTTAATATTTGATACCTAGATTGTAATGTGTTCAACTGCACTGAGGTCTTCCCTCTGCTGACTGGTTTATCACACTTATTTGATTTGTTACTATAAGACTATAATAACTACATCGCTGTACTTATTTTACTTCCCTGAAAACAAAGGACTTTTCCTCTGGTGACCATTTACATTATCATTGCAAATTACCTCCAACAGAACAGACACAATATATTGTGATCAGCCCAAATGATTGGCCAGGCAATCTGAGACCATTTCATTTCAATTTAATTTTTCTCTGGGCTTTTCTCCAACAACCCACACTGAGATTCCTGCAACTTTCTGTTTTCAATTAAACGATTAGGTTAGTCTATGGGGTATATTAGAAATATCTTGTAATACTGCAATCTGTGAAAATTAGTTTAACACACCACCAGTATTTTTGGAGTCGTTTCTCTTTTAATTAGATAATGTTTTCAATTACTAATCAGAAGCAATTGAGTCCTTTTGTGATTTCTGAGGTCTTTTGTTCACTAATAAGTAAGAGCTCATAAAATAATTCAAGTTGTAATAACAGACCTGAACCATATAATTAAGTGTAAGTAGGAGTAGGAGCAGAATGATGCAATTTGGGCTGTAATTGGCTTTCAACAACCTTGTTTTCTGTCATAAATACTTTCTCAGCATGAAGAGGACTAAATCTGAACAAAACTCAGTTAAGCAACCTGCTCAAGGGCATCAGGTTGGTATAGAAACTCTGAGATATAGTGTTGATATGTCAGTAAAACTAAAAAGTAATAATAGTGTTGCTATTACCAATAAGACACTTTTTCTAGGTTTTTAACATCCTCACAATGATTTATTAAATTCTGATTTCAGATTTTGGTAAACTGACCTTCATTATTACATTTTCTTTGAAAGAACTGTCATGACTCTGGTGGAAAGAGAAGACATATGACTAAGAATTGGCAGAAAATTGTTATTTTAAGTGTGTGTATTCTAAGAACTTTGATTTTACTGTGAAGATTTCGGCAAATTTTGTGTAATCATTAACACTTCGTTTGAAATGACTAATGACACTAAATAAATGAAACAGTTACAGTCTGAACCAGCAGAGGGAGACCTGCCAGACACCAGCACGAAGTGCATTGCAGTGTGGTCCAGGCAAGAAAGAATCAAAGCTGTACCGTACAACTCTATAAATTAACAGGTAATAAAAAGAATACATCTTTGATCAACTGTCAAATTATCATCCGTCAAATCAAGGTCACTGGGGACAGAGAGCTGGTAAAGCTTTCCCCTCTCACTCCCCCTTATCTTACACTGTCACTCCCACCACTCTCTCATTTTTCTTCTCCTCTCTCAATTAATATTTATCAGAAGTAGTTTCAGTCTAGACAAGCTTCTGACAGGTTGTTCAAAGGCCATCATACCTTACATATAAATCCAAGAAGAGCGGGTTTTACATGGTCTCTGTTTCTTGTTTCTTTGTCTGTCTTTCTCACTCTTGTCTCTACAAACAACAGGGCCACCATTAACTGGACCATTGAGATGAGCTCCTTTGTTTGACACCTTGCAGTCTTCAGCTGAGACTCTGATTCAAAATCTACTCTTCAAGCTAATTAGAACAAGGGCTGCTTCTTTCAGGGAGTAATAGTCCTACTCTGTATTAACAGAGCCCACCTACTCCCTCCCACTCCAGCTCACCAACAGTACTTCACTCTGCATAGATTAGAATGGGAAAGTCAGATTTCCCGCCCCGTAAGCTTTGCCAACACATTAATGCAACACTTTTCAGTCTTTTCTGGGCCCTCTTTGCTGCGTGCTTTGTCATTATCCTGGATGGGGTGTAGACAGAAAGCAGGATATTAAGTATTGAGAAAGACGGTGAGAGAATGAGAAGGGTGGGAGAGAAAAAGAAGGAGGAGGGCGAGGAGAAGAGAGGAAATGAAAGGTGAGAGAACATCTTAGCATCAGCATTTATTGAACATCAGAAGAGATACAGCATCTTATTTATTGAAGTATATAGTTTTGTTTGGGTCAGTCAAAATTCCCTCTCTGCCTCAATTAATCCACAAATAATCTGTAAAAGAGACTTATGAAATTGCACATTTAAACTAAGTAAAAAGTTGATGATTTATTCATGATCTACGGTACATTCATCATCTTGATATGTCTTATCATTTAAACGTGTAACATTTTGTTTTCACTTTGCGCTAAAATTTTTATAAAAACTTGTCAGTAAAACGTGGAGGTCCTGCAACACCACACACCCAAATACTTGCGCGCCCACACACACACACACACACACACACACACACACACACGTTAGTCCACTCGTTCATATTGAATACATTTATTTGTCCTCATCACTGGGTGAGTAAATGCACTTTAAATGAGGTAAAAATAAGTGTCTGTTGTTCGACACTCAATATCCCTGCTTGATGCTCTCAATTGCGGCCCAGTGCCAGTGCGCCCCAGTGTCATTGTCCTCCGAAAGAAAAACCATTTGCCCAGTCACCCTCTAAGCCCATGTGCCACCTTTGTCTTAGTTTCTATGGAGACGCTTTCCTCCAGGCCAAGTATGTGGAGGGCACCCCTCCAGCGGAAGGAGGTGGAATAACATTGTGGCAAGGCAATCATACACCAACCTCATTTACATATCTAAACATGAACCATGGACCGTAGCATGCAGTGTTTGTTCACTAAACATTTCACAGTAGTTGATTAAACCCATCTGGAAAATGGAGGACACATGATTATAGGTGATGATTAGTATTTTTTAACGACATAAAGGTTGGTTCTGAAATTGTGTGAAAAAAGGAAAGATAAAGAAATCAGGTGAAAGGGAAGTTACAGGGGAGAATACACAAAATATCTATCTTTGTACACTGGGTTCATTCAGCATTCTGATCACCGTTGCTCCCTTTGTACAGTTGACATGAATGATGCATGATGTAGTGGCTCCTCCGCACCTCCAGCTGGGGGCACTGTTCTATCTGTCTGTCAGTGAGTCTGTGGTATTTCCTTACCTATTCAGGAGACACACTGCTGTCAGATGGAGCTAGGTGTCTCTGACCTTGAGGAAGATGAAAGACATGCCCCACAGAAGCTACTGTACACAGCACTGAAATGCACAAACCTCACAGACTCACCGCCGAATACATGTGGCCTAGAGACAAGGACACAAACAAAGGGCGGGAGCAAGCTGATAACTGACTTTTTTCTTATTTTTATTTCTAACCACATTAGCATTTCTGGAGTATACTTCCTTAAAATTGGTACTTTTGTAGTTTATACATGTGATTTATTTTTGGTTTGATTTAAAATCACATGCTATATGTTTATGACTTTTTACATCTGACATACAGTAGAATAAATAAGCTTATACAACAATATCACAGAAACAGGATAGTTTTCTCACTCTTACAAATACTTGTAAAATAGAAAGGCTACTAATTAACAGGCCAAATAGCAATGAAATCAAAGAAACAGAACAGCAGCTAAGCATCATTAACATATTTTACTGGGGCAGTAATTGTGGCAGTGACTGACTGCCACGCAGTCACACGGACTGCTTTATAATCCAGCAATTATTCTCAAACAGCAGGACCCATTGCTGTGACGATGGCAGTAATGAAAATTACTCTTTTAAATCATTAAAATGCTCTTTTCAAACTCGTCACAAGAACACATAAGCATACATTTCTTTGTTCACTTATTTAACACAAAAACTGGCTAAATATACACATATATATATATTTCTCACATACACACACAGAGACACACATATATATATATATATATATATATATATATATGAATGACAAAGGAAAAGCCAACATAAAGTGTCACCACAAGCCGCTTAAACAGCTTACTTCTCATTGATTCTGCAAGTCTCTCAACTTTACTGTAGGGCCATTCTGTTTTGATGATGTGGTGGAGAGCGCTGTCAAACACGTCGCTTCAAAATCTTGCGTAGGTGTTGAGATCTGAGGACTGTGGAGGCCATAGCAAATGATTCACATCATTTTCACACCATTTCAAACCATTCAGTGGCACCTCGTCCCCTATGAATGGAAGCATTATCATCCTGGAAGAGACCACTCCCATCAGGATAAAGATGTTTCATCCCAGGATAAAGGTGATCCCTCAGAACAACTTTGTATTGATTTGCAGTGACCCTTCCCTCTGAGGGGACAAGAGGACCCAAACTGTGCCATGTCAGCAAAATGCCCCCCACAGCATAACAGAGCCACCAGATCCCCTTACTGTAAGGGTCGAGCACTCAGGCTTGTACCGTTCTCTTTCTGCACACCACACATGCACTTGTCCAGTTGTGGAGAATATGGTGATGGACAACTCATCTGACCATATCACTTTTTTTTCCACATCTCTATAGACCAGTGCCTATGGTGTTATCACCACTAAACTTTCAAATGTGCATTCATCTTTGTAACGAGGGGTTTATGCACTGTAATTATACTATACTATAATATAATACTATAATCTCTATGTAACCGTTGATGGACTATTCTTGCTGACACATCCTGCACTCACATTCTGAGTCTCCTGAGGAAGAGTTGCTCTTCTATTTTTCCTTACATATCGCACTAATGCATGAGCCTCATGGTCATCAAATATCTCTGACCTTATTTACTGACATCTTTCCCATAGATCTAAATGTAGATGTCACTGTTACTATTGAAAGCTCCTGCTATCTCTGTCCCAACAATGAACCTTCTTTTAAAGTCATTTAGATCTTTTCCTCTTGCCATCTTGATACAAAATCAGACCCAGTTGGGCCTGCTCAGCATTTTAGTGTGTTTCTACTCATTTATTCAGTGTCCTTTAATTTGTATTAAATATATATATATATATATATATATATATATATATATGTATATGTGTATATATATATATGTATATATATATGTGTGTGTGTGTGTGTGTGTGTGTGTGTGTCCTTGTACCAGAGTGGCTAATTAACCCTAATAATTAAATCATCAATATACATTTCTCTACAATTCACCATTACTGAGAGAAAAATACACTGCTTTGATCTCACATTCACTACAGACAAGATACTTAAATAAGTGATTAAGTTTATGATGGTTCACTAATAATCTCTTATAGCAATGATTGTAATTTATCATGCAGCATACAGTATGTGTTCTTTATGAATGGTCATGAATAATAAGTATGTCATCATCATTACGCAGGACATATAACGTGCTATTAGCTCATGGAAAGATACCAGAAAAGCTTGTTATTACAGTTAAACTATTAATTTGATCGTTTCTTTTGTGTTTGGTTCAGCTTGAAGCCCCTAATACTCTAATTTAATCTCCTTTAGTGCTGTATAATTGATTAAAAAAAAAAAAAAATTATATATACTCTGAGCTCATATATATTATGCAAAACAAAGCTAGATAATGAATCTTTGTGTGAAATACGCAAGTGAGTTTTTATGCTCAGTACTAATTGGATTTTAAAGTTGACTTTTGCAGTAATATTGACATCAGAAAAGTCAAACTAAATGAGCGTGACAGTATATTGATGAAGGCGGACTGTATTTTTTTTCCAGCTGAGTCAAGAATATTCTCGTCCTGTGCAGTAATTTAAAGAAAAGTGTGTCTTTATATAAACATGAACACAGCACTTAATAAGATAGACATTTGGAGTGCTGCAGAGTTGCTCAGCTCTTCACCAACCAATTGCAATATTGTCTGTAGTAGAAAAATCTAATTTGATTTCAGTGAAAAACAGAAACACTAACCTACCTCTTACTGCCAAGAGAAACTACTGAAACCTCTTGCTGTTTGACTCAAGCCAAACAACTTTACTATCCTAATTGGTCTCAGTGGGCAGAGCATCAAATGTGTAAATAATTTTCTCAGCAATCGGCCTGCTCTATCTTTGGCGAGCATGGCTTTCTTTCTTTGACTGTGAAAAGAAAGCTGTTGGAAGGCCGTTTTGTACTGAAATTCCTGAAGCACACTGTTTTTATGTTGTACAAAACTGCTTTAAATATGATAATGAGCGACCAGTGTTCAATCATAGAACCACCAGTCTCATAATACATATCAACCAGAGCACATGGACAGCCTCGTCTGTCGGGGGTAACAGTTTGCAGATGGGGTTTCAACTGTTGCTGCAGTGTGCTCAGTTGGATTGTGGATTGAGGGAATCAAGTTACTCATAATTAAGAACATAACTGGGAGCAGGTTGTACCCTCCACTGGATTGGCTTTTGAGGTTTTGACGGGACACTGATTGTTTAATTTCTGTCTGTCTGGACTGTTGGCACTGCAACATATTGTGTCCTGCATTGCACACTTGTACTGTGATGGATAGCGGCACACAGCCAAACCTCCGGCAAATAGTGAAGTGTCAACATTTTATGATGAAATTGAACTAAAGCTATTTCTTTTAGATGGTTTGTGCACTGATATCATAGTGCTTTTCAGTGATTTGCGAGCAGCTGGTAGTTTGTGTTCATTATTTTACGGCAGCTGGGGAGGAAAAAGGAGAGGCAGGGAAATTACAGCTTGACCACAATCACAGAGGACACAGCAAAGCTATTAGTTTTCCAATGCAATCACATAATCCAGTGGCCCAGACATTTGCTTTAATCAGACACCTGGGAAATGCATCCATCCCATTTCATTTCATCAGCTCAAATCAATCTTATATCAGTATTAAATGAATACGCTGGGATGAGAAATCTGGCTGGACAAGCTATTATTATCAAAAGGAAGTCCTTCATCACTGCCCTTTATGATTCCCTGTCTTTCTTCTTTATGTTGTAGGCATAATACAAAGCATTCAGCTCTTACATGCTGTAGATCCATTTAAAAAATAAGAATAAAAAAATAAACAGAAGGAGGCTGTATTCAAAAGCACAGATGTTACACTAAGTTTCAAATGGTGCAAGATGACTCCCTAATGATGTGGAATAGGCGTTCTTTCTTTTCCAACAAGCAATTTATGAGTGGCTGTCACATCATCAAAAGGTGGATATGGCACATTGGAACTTCAAAGAACAATCCATTACAGTGTAACAAGTAGTAGCTCTGATGGATATGTGAGCGGCTGTATCTGACTGGTAAAAGCCTTCACTTTGTGTTTTTCTCTCCTGCTCTATCTGTGCACGCTGGTGAATGTGGGGATGCTGCTGATATTGGTGATGCTGAGAGTACTGCACGAGACGAGTCTTTGTCTAATCTGGGAAGGCTGGGCTCCAGCTGGCTCCTGCTATGTGGTTGCATGCAAAAGTCAGCGGGTCCCTTAGCACTCAGTGCAGGAGGCAGGCTGGTTGATTGATTGGGATGCACACCACCAACGCCCCCCCCCCCCCCACACACACACACACACACAGACACACACACAAACACACCTCCTCCTCCTGCTTGTTCTTGCTCAGAAAGCACATGTGCCTCTCCTGCTCTCCATTTTTTTTTTTTTTTACCCAGACCTACTTTATCACACAGAAGCATTAATGCAGCCAAGCATACATGTCCATGCATGTGCATAAACAAAGGTCCTCACTCACAGATATTGCAGGAAATCCTAAAACACACTAGGACATTTTTTATAAGTTGTAAAAATTAATGACTGTAGGTTTTGCCTGATTGGAAAATAATATTTTGACTGGAACATGTGTTTCTGAATATGTGAACCTCGTAAACATCAGCAGTATCTCCAACACTGAGTTCATTCAGGGCAACACATTAACAGTCATTACAGATAACCGCTCAGCCAGACCATTCTCCACACTTCGTTTTGCTCCAACAGAGAATGAAGCATTACCCTAACGAATTCATCGTCCCAGACAGACAGACAGACAGACAGACAGACAGACAGACAGACAGACAGAGAGAGAGGGCGCCTGGGGCAAAATATATTTTAACAAATTTGATATTAAGTGTTTCTACAGCGTATCCGCCTTTAAATTGATCCTCCAAGTGTTAGTGGAAAGCATGGAGCTGAACAAAAAGGAAGAGGAAGGGGTGTGTTAGAATCACCGACAGCTTTTCAGGACTCCAGCGACGACCTGCCAGCCAGTGTCTGGTGAACGTGCGTGTGCGCGTGCGCGTATGTGAGCGCGCGCGTGCGTCCATACTTGCTTGTGTGTGTGTGTGTGTGTGTGTGTGTGTGTGTGTGGACCAGCAGCCAACACACACTTAAAATTCGTTCGCAACATGGCGTTGGAGCGCCGAGAGACACGACGGCTCTCCCCCGTCTAATGCAACCCTATTGTTAGGAAAGCCGGGGGGACTGTTAACCAAAGAGACCTAAACATTCACAGAGACTCTTTCACGCACCGGCGGAGACAATAGCGGATTCCAACATATGCATGTCGCTATAACGGTATAGCTGGTTGTATAGACGCACGCTGCTACCCCACTGGTGGAAATCAAAGGCTGTACATGGCGGTGGAGAGTACAATTTGGCTGTTCTGTCTTCTTTCGCTGTTTTGTGGTCCATCCAAGCAAGGTAAAGCTCACTTTAATCTTTTGTAGGTTTTTCAGCGGAGTGCATGTGTGAGGCAGCGGGCCACTCTTATTACACTGAAGTGCAGTTACTCACAACATAAGTGGGCTGTGATAAAAGATAGGGGAGAGCTACTGGATGAATTTGCACCTTGCGCGGTCCTCTGCTATATCCCCTCCGTACTATTATGTGTTCACCCCATGTGGCCTCTCCGGTGCTTATGAGGTAGTGGTGTACTGTTACTTCGTGGGTGCCTCTCCCAGGACGCGCTGGAAGGTTTTGGCGTTACGAAGTTGCAGCACATTGCTCAAGGAGCAGCCCTGAATGTTGCCACAGGGCGGCCAGAGGGTTTTGAACCAGCCGGGGGGAAGTTTGGGATCAAACAGACGAGATGTGGTGCTTAATAAGAGTGGAGCGCCCTGGAAGCAAACCACCCTTAAATGTGTCGAGTGCTTTGCCAAAAAGTCTGAACTTTTTCTCACAGCTTAATAACCCTGACCGACTGTGCGCATTGCATATGGTTGTAGCCACTGGCTTATAAAGTTGAGCGAAAGAATATGTGAAAAAGGGTCATAATGTCATAACAAACACACGGTCTTCATAAACTTGCAGTGGAAAAAAAAATGTGTTAGGGAGATGATAGTGAAAGATGCACAGTAGCTCCAGAGAGAGGAAGCGGGCTGGTTGAGGAGGAAAGTCTGCCCACACAGGCGACGACGAGTGGCCGCAGCATTTGCATGACAAAGACCTGTGCAGAATATCAGGGAAGGTTACACGGTTAAAAAGCTCTTGGGGGGGGGGTATTAAAAATAGCGAAGCAGACATGTATTTTTCTCCTGAAAACTCCTTCATGGGGGACTCCCATAGAACAAAAGCTATACATGTGTTTTTGTCCCATCATAGATCTGAGAACTTTGTTCTGCATGGCTGTATGAAATCATTATAGAACAAGCCACAGGTGAAGAGGGGAAAGGAGTAATAGTGATGAAGTGAAGCTCATTACCCATAATTCTCTTTTGTTACAGAGCTTTAGGGAGTGCAATAGGTGTGAAATGTAACCAGCTGTCATCAGACTGTGTGAACTGTGGTAAACTCCCAGATTGTAGCTGTAGTGTTCTGCTTCCAAGTTTGAACTGTGTGACGGACATTTCGGTTAAAATGTTCAAGTCTGAAGTACTGAGCACTAACATGTTAACAGGTGTATCTGTTAAGAGCCTATCATGGGGATCAGACAAGTGGGACTGTGTGTACTATGTGTGTGTGTGTGTGTTTGACAGAGAGAGGCTATCAAATATTCTCTGCAATATATATTTACATATTGTTGTGTGGTTGTGTTCAGCAAATATAGTAGCAGCACTGCTTAAAGTTTTTCATTTATAATTTTATCCCTCTCCTGTGTCTGCGGCTCACTTCAACATCATCACAGATGTGCTGCTGCTTCAACATTTAGGATGACGTGCTCTGCAGTGAATGCTACCAACAGCGATGAGATATAAAGCAATAATGTGCACAAGGATCGTTGTGGTGGTGAAAAGTCAAGCGTGGCAGGAATGAATATATCAGAAACCCTAAAGTACTTACACACACCCAGTTAGACCTCCCATCTCCCTCTGAGATATTGTGGAATTTTATCACATAAGTTCTGTTATTCATTGTTCAATTATGCAAATGAAGGCTTTAAAAGGGAGGCAACTAGGTATATGCCTCCTTGACTTCCATCTGATATAGTAGTAGAAGGTCAGAGGATACGATTTATATAGAGTTAGATTACCATGGCCTGCAGACTCCAGCAGAGGCAGAATAAGGAATTACTCCCCTTGAGATCCTCCTGACAGGAGAGTGAGTGCCACACCGGGGGGTGATCACATCCAGATGATGAAATCTTTTGCAGGTAAATGGCGATTGTGATGGAGGTTGTCTGTGATAAGAGTGAGGAGGGAATTGATTTATTTGCACACTGAGATTTATCACTGGAAGTTGGTACCAAACAGTTTTGACAGTTTGCTTGGTATCTGAAAAAGCTTTTGAGTTTATGAAACAACACATTTACAAAAAAAAAGAAAAAACGATTAAAAGAACATTAAAGGAATCACAGACTAAAATCCACTGCAATATTTAACAGTTGCCATCAAAAAGTGTTTTGCTTCAGAGCAAAATTCACATTTGCATTCATGAGCTCTGCTGACAGCACCATCATGCTTTATGATCAAACCAACAGATTAGTATTTATGTATTATTACCAAATAATTACACTGCATTGTTATTAGTCATCAAGAGCAGTCAACGGCGCAGTCATTTAGGGTGATTTGGTGTGTGCATGTTTCTCTCTCTGCGTGTGTTTTGTTAGGTTCTGAAACTGGAGCATGAATGTCGTGGGTGTTGGTGGTTGTGGGAACTGAGGTTGGTAGTGAGTGGGGGCTGGGGGCAATTGTGGGACAGAGATGAATTGGCGGCTGCTGGTGGGGCGAATTTGAGGGCAAGGGCCATTGCTACATCCACAAACAAAGAGCTTGTTTTGTCCATTCTAAAGATCAAATGAAAATATGTCAGCCTCACTTAACACATCACAAGCAAATGAATGAGTGTGAGTGCCTGGGTGTCTGTGTGTTCACAGTCCTCACTCGCTCAGTTATTCATGGACATAATAAAAAAAAACATCTGCAGTCCCGCAGGACTTTATGAGCAAATGAATCCGATTATTGTAACGCCTTTGGCCTTTTTTTTTTTTTATGCACAAGAAAATTGTTAACACAGCAACAGTTGCATGATGAAATGTAGGGTGAGGATGTCCGCTACCCAAATGCCTCTATACTGTTATGAAAAACATTTGCATTAACAGTCGAACAGCTCACATTAAGTGTTGATCAAGCTCACGTGATGCTTGTCCAGCTTTATACTCACACAGTTACACTGTAGAGAGATGCCCAGTGCAACATCAGTCTTCTGCAATTCCACAGGACCAGCATAGTGTCATAAGCCTTGATTAAGGGGAAAAATACTTCAAATTAATTTCCCATCTCTGTGCAAAATACCATCCATTCTCTCAACTCCTTCTTCTGCTCGTCAATGGGGGAAACTCAAGAGTACCCTCAGGAAACAGCAGACACAGACATGCTAACAACAGGGAAAGGCAACACCCCGAGCAAACCGTTTCTTATTCTAATTCCAGCAGTTATGGAACAACACTATCATTCATTTTTTGCTGTATTTCAGGTGGTGTGGTGAATTTAAGTCTGATGCTCATTCTGTTTGACCTCTAGTTTTGGTCTCTACCAACACCAGAGGGGAATATCTGGCTCCACTGTGTCACCAGCTACTCACTTCCTGTGTCTGTCTGTCATTTTGTGCTGAGCAGGTAGTGTACAGTGGGTTCTTTTAAAGCTTTTCCACAGGAGACTGTGGAAAACGACACTATGAGAGCGGTGAGAGTGAACCAAACAGTAAAGTTGCTGGACAGCTGAACAGTGAGTTGTGCGCTAAAACTCTCTGTTGAGCTCTGTAAAGCTGAGGCAAGCTGCAGATTCAGGCAATAGCTCTAATAATTCTGTAGGTTCATCACAACCAGTGTCCCCCTTTCATGTCGTCGATTAAAAGAAGTATTCTGTATGCAGCAAAAAGTGGCTTGGCTTAAAAACTGTGTTTGTAATGTTTAGTCTTTCTACTCTTTAAATTTTTCAATACAGCTGTTATATTGCTTTATTATTAACTTTTAGAACCATTAATTGTATTGCTTTTTAAATGCCTTTAATGTTGTTGTTTCTAAGCTCAGCTTCTGCCACATTTCTACAACCAGCAGTAATCCATGTATCTATGATTACATTTTATTTTATTCACAGCTTCCTTGTCCTTGTATTAAGTACCATTATACAGACAAACAAATCATATTCTCAATCCAAATGAGCAGCATTTGCTCACAAGCTCTTGAAATGCCTGCGAAGGGTGTGATTCTGCCTATCAACAGCACCACACCGCTGATGTCATAATTTTAGCTTTGAAATCACCTTAGACTACCTCTGTGTGGTCACTCCTGGGATGGATTAAATTATAGTCTTTTATTGTGAAATAGAACATGCAGTCTGTTACTATTATAGGGAAAAAAAGTACTGTTATTCCTGCAGTATTCACAGGTCAGCTCAGCGGCTTGTTTCATAAAATTTAATATTTCCATGGAACACCTGAGGAAAATTAGCCACGGTGGTGGGAGGGAACTGTGTTTTGAGTCAACCATTTATTCCACACTGCCCTAGGGTACCATGGGGTAAAGTCCATTCTCTAGCTTAGATATTATGGAGATGTAAAGTTACACAAGGGGTTACGTTTTCGGCTTGGCACAGTGTCAGTGGAAGATACTTTGAATGTAGTGGGGTTGTTACAAACGTGTCTGAACAAGGGTAATTGCCACGAAATTTAACATCCAAGTTTTACCACAAAATGCACAATCTCTAGTTTGCAGCACAGTGAAGTCATGGGTATCACTATATCACTGCCTTTGATAAAGTGGTATGACATTCTGCCTGACAGATGTTTGATTCTCTTCCCTCGCCGCGTGTTACCTTTACATCTCTGTGATCATCTCTCCTGCAATACATATTTCACACCGGATGGGCAGGGAAAAAACAGCTGATGTTACTGTAGGTTGGCGCTACGAGTGGCAAACCAAATTAGCGAAGCAGCTTTAAAGTTTTATTGGTTTTTGGTTCCTGGCTCTAGTTTTCTTCCAGCTGGTGCTTTTGGAGGTTGTCCTTCATCTTACATTTCCATACTTGGTCTGAAACTGGAATCAGAACTCGAATTTGAATCAAGTTTATTAGGCAATTGTGCATGTCCGTCCAAGGAGCTGTTGGTGTAACTCGTACTTAAAACCATGAAGACTAACAAACAGCCACTGCAGGGAGGATATCTTCCACTCTCATCCATGCCTTCTCTTGAACTCTACCATCATCTTGAGTGTTTAAAGTGTGTTCAGCTCCAGTTTGTTGTGTCTACACCGGAGGGGCCAGCTG